GGTTTACGCTATCCGTTTTGGGATTTTGGTCAACCGTTTAACGTTTCGAGCTAACCGTTTATATTTTTGGTCAACCGTTTAACGCTTCAAGCTATCCGTTTTTGGACTTTGGGCAACCGTTTAAATTTTTTGCTATCCGTTTAAAGAGTTATGGAAACCGTTTAAACGCTTGAGTTAACTGTTTACTATCCGTTTAGAACCGTTTTTCTTGACCGTTTAACGGAAAAGCGTTAGTGTCCGTTTTCCCAAAGAGGGTCACATATCTGTTAAGTTCCATACAGGAATTGCTGAACAAGAACTTCATTGCTTTTAGTCGTCTGTTGTGATTCCGAACTTAATAATATATAAACTTAATTATGTGTATTGTAATGGTACTTCGTTTTCTGTCTCTTGTAGGTGGTCTTTAAGAAAAAATATGAAAAGACATAACTTATCGCATTTTGTTGCAAAGCTAGCTCGTATAAACCTGTACTCTTTCGATCTATGACTATATAAAAGCTAAACGTTTTTGTATTATTAATATTCTTTTCAGCCTGAGGATAGACAGCAGTGGAAACTTGAAAAGGACACTGAGTTAAGGCTTGAGATTCCTGAGGGAAAGGGAAAAGCAGAACTGGTCGTAAGCAATGAGAAAATACTGTTTTAAGCCCTAATATCAATGTTGTAGTTAATTTTCTATCTCAGGTAATTTTTTTTCCTTTATTTTTGGATTATGGTACTGTATGCTAACGAAGTAAAAACAAAGGAAAAATAGCCTGCGTAGTAAGCGTTTCCGTTTGGTTTCAGAGCAAAGAAATACCAAGGAAGGGGACTTTCGGTATTGACCGCACAAGAAATGAAATGAGAGCCAAAAACTGAAAGAGGGGGGAGGGGGAGGGGAAGGAAGGAAATGCTTGCAGACAAACCCCTCGATTTTGAAAACCTGCCTTCACCAGCGAACGCAGGGCCTGATTGGCTCGGCTAGTCGAACAATGTTGACATGTGTCAATCAAAGGTTTGTTTCATACTGAGATGTCATGTTTCGTATGTGACACGCGTATTAATTTCCTGTGGTTATTGTTTATTCTGGTCGGCAAGATTTGCCCTCCAATGCAAGAGTATTTTCTTTAACTTATTTTGAAACACAAAGCTCTTCTTGCGACTTTATAAGGGTTTCAGGTTGTTTTATTTGTCTCCTGCATCTGAATAACTAAAAGCGATTTTCTTTTGTCAGGGAATGTGATGGTTTCCTGCAATGTTTGGTCATTCTGGGCCCGGCACGTTAGTGTTTTTTTTTTTTTTTTGGGGGTGTTTAAATTTTTTCACATAGGGTTTTACAGAAAAAAATTTGGAAGAAGGGTTTCCACCTTAAACTGAAGCAACATCAACCAGAAAAACCTGAATTTTAACTCAGTAAAAATTTCTGCTTGGTTTCCCCCGCGACCTCCCTCAGTTGCCCCGTTAGCTTTTTTCTGG